TTGTCATATGGCTTCACTTCTTTTGAAAAGACACTGTTTGGCTATCTAAATACACAGTGAAATTCTTGGTTCTTACCTACTAATGATAAACAGGTCAACCAAAAAAAAATTTTTTTTTTTTTAATCTAACGCGATTAACTTCCGTTTTCTCAGTCCTTTTCTCACTTGCATCTGTTAATTTCAGGCCTGAGAGTCTGTCAGGTTCATTAGGGGTTTGAATCATTAAAGCAGAATGGTAGCTTAATATGTTTCTCATTGTATAAGCTCATTAAAGTAATTGTAAGTAGATAATTCTCAATATAAAGTTTATTTAGCCCATAAACCAAAAAATTATTGGTCTTTTAGAAACACTTTTTCTGAAACAAACGGCATTAACCTCAATAAATGTCATCAAAAAGAGTTTTTTTCATGTTATCCAAACTGTGGTTTATTTTGGAACTGATTCCTGCTCTTTTAAGAAACAGGTTCCGGAATAAATTGACATTTTAATAATACCAAAATTGTTATAAATGGAAGAGCCTAGATTACTATTTCTTCAAATTCTTTAAAAACAAAAGAATTTGTTCTAATGGTTACTTTTTTTCAGTAGTTAAAAAAGCCTGCGAATCTTTCTTGTTTAGCACATATATGATAACATACTTTTAATCAAAAAAGTGATAAATATATTCAACATTTGGTAGTTATCATTCGTTTTAGCTTGTGCATTTAAAAAATATTTAAGATTGTGGTACTCACTGCCTTGTATTTGAATATATTATATATTGATGTTTAAATATAGCATATATTGGTGTACTGTTGTCAAAATGGTAGACCAAAGCAGACAGTTAAATTAGTACCATAATATAATCCATGCACTGCTAAAAATTTGCTTCAATATCTCAGCATCTTAATATCCTGGATAAAAAGGGAAGTAATTACAATAACCAGTACCCATGCAATAGAAACTATCATTTGCCATTTGCTCGAGAGAAACAATTTTTCCTGGTGCTATGGTAGATCTTTGAGTCTCGTCTCATATAAAGAAGTGTCCCCCACATCTCGTCAACAAATGTAACCATATTTTCATAGGATTTATAGATTCTGTAANATTTTTGTTGCTACTCTATAACTGTAATTTTGCTACTGTTATGAATCGTAATGTAAATATCTTTTTGTTTTCTGATGGTCTTAGGCGACCCCTGTGAAAGGGGTCGCGACCCATAGGTTGAGAACCGCTGATTTAGTGAATACCATATAGCAATGAAAATGAACTGCAGCTTCACAGAACATGAATGAATCTCATAAACATACTCTCTAGGCAAAAGCCAGACAAAAGTGAGTGCATACTATATCATTTCATTTATATAACATTCCAAAACAGGCAAAACTAACTGTAGTGGTAAGAATTCAGGGTATTGCTTTGATGGTTTCCTTTTGGAGGAAAAGCGGAGGTAGTGCTTGGGCCGGGGCCGCAAGGAGAGCCCCGGGGTGCTAGTACTGCTCTCTTTCTTTATCTCAGTGAGCTAAATGGGTATGTTTATCTTCTGTAATTCATTGTTTGTGTACTTCTCCCATGTAAGTTATGTATACATAAATACAAAATTATTAAAAAGGAATTAGAAAGTTCTGATAAGGAGTGATCTCCAGAAAGTAATTAAAAACAAACAAGATGCAGCGTAGTGTTTATGTTTATGGAGCATTTTGGTTTGGTTTATAGCATGCCACCTATTTTCTTCTACTTCTCAGGCCACCCCCCTGACTGGTTATTACCCAAGCCCCAGTCCTTGGTCATCTGTTCTCTTAACTCAGTTTTAGGATATTAATTCACATCTCTTTGCGCCTAGTACCAATTTATCACTTGGTTATTTATTTATTTTTTTATTTCCAACATTCTGCAGGATAGTTTGTTGATTATATCATGATTGACACAGCAATCAGTATGTCTAAAACGTAAAACTCATTGCTTGCCCCCTCATGTCTAAATAAGCTATCATCCTAATCTTAGTATTCCCATCAATGGTTTCACTGCTCTCTGAACTTGAAATCTTTGAGTTATTGTTGACCTAACCTTCCACTGGATGTCCAGTCTGTAACTGTTGCTGACAGTTTCCTTCTAGCATTATAAAATGCTTTCTTTTTATTTACAGTTACCATGATAACGTCTACAATAAGGTGTTGCTAAGTGTCCTTGTCTTCACCTCTTTAGCTGCAAATATTATGTTGGTTGTAGAACTCTATGACTATACTAAAAACCGCTGAATTGCATACTTTAACCCAGTGAATTTTATGGTATGTGAATTATAACTCAATAAAGCCATTATTAAAAACAAAAATGTCTCTGAGAGCCTGTAGTGATTTCCTATCAGATTAAATCTCAGTTTTGGTTTAACATCCAAAGCCACTCATTGTGTCTAGACTCACTTCCAGTCTTGTCCAGTCTGTAAAACTCCCCTTGGTAGTCTAAGCTCCTTGATAATAACATCTTCATATTCTAGTAAGTGATTTCATATATAAGATTAATAATCTTTTCAGAATAGTCAAAGCCATGGATATTATCCCTATTTTAAAATTGGGGAAACTTGAATGGAGACAGAATGATTTATTTGGAATCAGGGCTAGTATTAGAAGTCATTTCAATTTCAAGATATTTGCTAAGCATCTTATATGTACTAAGCACTGGGTGGTGCATTTGGGATATAGAGACAGATTCTGTGGTCTCTCTACTCAGAGAATTTACCTGAGTTGCTTCTAGTCTTTCTGCTTCTGCTAATCTTCCCATCTGTAGACTGCTTTACTGCTTCTATTTTGTCCTTGTCATTTTCCTTCAAAGCCCTTCTAAACTCTATCTTCACTAACCTTTAAACCTTCCTTTACTTTGAATTCCTTGGATCCAGACCAATTCTAAATATATCTGTAACTTGCCATATTTTCCTTACTTGGTTTGCTTGTATATTTATCACCTCAGTTGATAAGAAAGCTTCTCAAGGGCATAAATAATTATCTATAATTTTGAAAGTATTTTCCACAATTTTTTTCTTATTGTGCCAACATAGTTCTGGGCCCTTAGATGCTTAGTAAAATTACGTTGAATTGAATAGAAAACTAAGGCCTTGCCTTGATCTTCAATCTCTTGGCTAGTTGGGAAGGCCAAACCCACACACAAGAGATCCACATCCTGTGCACAGTTGTAAAACACTGTATCAATTGTGAAAAATGAATAGCTTCAAGCTGAATGGGTAAGTGGGCCTGATGAGTTGTTCTGCTGTGTTAACTATTAACTGTAGCTTAGTGCTAACTCTGACCTTCAGACCCACTGTAGCCTTGGTAGCTCATACTTTAGCACCTAAAGTAACTACTAGGCAGTGGTTAGGCTGATTTTGGCTCGTGTGGTCTAGGGTGAAGACCAAGCACCACTTTTCTGGCCTCTCCTCTAGTAAACTATTAATGTTAGTCGATCACTATAGCACATATTGTCTCTACAGGATGATGATCTACCCCATACCTGTATACTTTCATAAACCTTGTAAATGAAGGTGAAACAGTGAAAAGCCTTCTTAAAGTAAGCAAGGTAAAATGAAGTAGCATTCTGTGTTATTAGAAGATGCTATTTATGTAGAGCTCTCTTGCCACTCCAATGTCTTACTTGTACTATTGATTTTGTGTCAGTGTAGATGGATGTCGTATAGCTTAGTCAGATATGGTTGTCTAGTGTTCATCTATTCATTTCAAAGAGTCTGTCATTCTTGCATAATAATTATTAGAGTCAAAATAAAGGAAATTAAGCATACTTAATGTTTTTTCTTGTTGTTTTATAAGGCACAGTTGGTGGATCTGAGATCTGAACTGACAGAGACCCAAGCAGAGAAGGTTGTACTGGAGAAAGAAGTACATGAGCAGCTTTTACAGTTGCACTCTATTCAGCTTCAGCTTCATGCCAAAACTGGCCAAAGTGTCGACTCTGGTACCATTAAGGCAAAATTGGTAAGTAGTTTATAGGGTAACATAGACTTACGTGCATTTTAGAGGACAGAGAGGACAATTTTAATGAGGCTTTTTAATTGTAAAAGGTAATCTGTGTGCATTGTGGGAAATTTAGAAAATAGGAAATGTGAAGGTCAGGATGACCACCCAGAGATGATCTTAGAATAGGCTGATACTTAGAATAGGCTATTTTTCATATTTAAAAGATATTTGTGATCATAACATATAAACAGTTTTTGCGCTACTGCATCATTTAGGATTAAGTTCAGCTGCATATAACACAAATCCCAAGTAACATTGGGATTATTCTTGAATAGTACAAATTATTTTCTCTCAATTAAAAAGAAGCCCTGAGACAGACAGTCCAGAGCTGATATGGCAGCTCCACAGATATCAGGGATCCAGGTTCCCTTTGTTATTGTGCTCTGCTGTTTTTAGCTCATGATTTCTGTCCTCAGGATTTGTTCATTCCAGGCAGGCAGAAGGGGGAATCTAAGGCAAGGGCAAGAGGATGCCTCCCAGCTGCATGAGCCTTCTTTAAAGGACTTTTCATGAACTCCTTCTCAACTGTTTGTGCCAATCAATTTAGCCATCTCTTTGGCTGTCCCCTAGCTGCGTGTCAGTCTCTTAGTTGGTCACATGGTCACCGCCATTTAAATTGGAGTTCTGTTAATAAGGAAGAAGGGGAAAATGGACCTGGGTGCCAACCAGTGGCACATTGTTTCATTTGCTCTTAATATATTACAAGCGTTTTTCCTGCCACTTGAACACTTTGTTATTTTGCATAATGTTTCATTGTATAAATTTTGCACAGTTAACCATTGCCTTCTTGATCAATGTAGGTTGTTTAAATAGATATTTTTGAAGTCTCATTTCAGTTTAACCTCAGAATGTATTGAGTATGTGCAATGTGCCAGAGGCTTTGCTAACTACAGGGGACACAGCAAGAAATAAGTCAGAGCTTGGGAGAGGCAGGAGATAAAATGATTTTGGTGATGAGAATGATACATTTTTAAGTTTTACTTGGTTTCAGTTAATTCCATTTAATTGGTTAATTAGTTTCTAATACTGATACGTTAGAATTTATTTAAATATTTACATTCTCCTAAAGTCCTTTTAAATCCTGAAATTCTATTAATCCAAGTAGTGCTTTATTTAACTGACATGCATCTGATAACTGCTTCTTTGGAATATTTTATATTAACATTGAAAAAACAATGTGTTTTTTCACTAGAAAAGAATTTACCTGAAGTTTTAACATTAGATTTGAAACAGGCTGCTATAGTGGAATGACACTGAACCAGGTGTATTATTGACTAATGTTCATAAAACAAAAAATTTTAGTCTAATACTATATAGTTACCATTGCTTATGGATTTGCAAATATATTTGTTCTAATAAACTACCCAAATGATATTCAACATGGGAATTTTCCTTGTAATGATTATACCACTAGATAAATTCATTTATTTGATTTTCTTCTAATTATAAAACTTTTTTCTTATATCTTAAGTCTGTCCCCTCTGTGGAGGAGCTGGTAAGTATGCCATTTCTGTTTTGCTTTTATATGTCATGCTGAAGTGTTCTTGGTGTTTTATTTGTGTATTACATGTTGTCAGTTTGTATTTGAAAATGATGTTAATGATGGCAATTTTTTAATGTGCCAGTACCTGAAAAGCTCAGTGGGTGGCCCATTGCTCTTTTTTTATTACCTGTTGTTAAAGATTTTTCTTTCGTTTGTGATTTGTGGCCATTATTTGCAGAGCTTATCAATTTTTGACAACTTCTGAGCCTAGTAGCTTGCTCACACCTCTACTTCAAAAGAGCAGTTGGTTTTCCCACTTGAGTGTTTTGAAAATATATTAAGCAGGCCCAGCTTTTTCCTCCTTTTCTATGTGAATTTATTCCCAGAGAGAGAATGTGCATGTGGTGTCTCATTCATTCACTGCGTGTGGTGTCACTTTTCAGAAGTCTTGAAAGTAATTGTGTGGCCTTTACAACTGAATTTTGAAACCATTTACCATAATTTATTTTAGAAAATAACAGTGCATACATTCTTAATATTTTTTCCCACTACCCCAACCTAATCAGATTCCAGCTTGTCATATGGCTTCACTTCTTTTGAAAAGACACTGTTTGGCTATCTAAATACACAGTGAAATTCTTGGTTCTTACCTACTAATGATAAACAGGT